GGATACTTGCATTCCCACTGTATGAACAGTGGGCTCAGGAAGGAGTGTAAACTTGGCTTTATTATCTTTTTTATCTGTATGTCCAGATATGCAGAGAATGTACAGCAGTGTTACAGAATGGAAAGCAACGTCTCCAAAGCTACTTTTGGATTTGGTCCAAGTTGCCTGTAGTCAAGCAGCTCCAGTGGTACCTCAAGATTTCTCACATTAGTCAGCTTGGTTCTCATAGGCAGCACAGACAAAAACAACCATTGTTAGAAATGCCTGATGCTTTCCATGAAAAGCTTGGCAAAGCTATAAGCTTTTAATTGTTTGAGCTGAAGTGTCCCATGTTGGGGGGTCTGCCTACATTTAGGAAAGTTTTAGATCAAAATGTCTAGCTGTTTGCGAGAACATGATTGCAGGAAAATACAAGCTAACATTTCCGCAATATTTTTTATTGAGCAACTCTAGGCTTTCCATGTTTTGCAACAGAGACTTCAACTGTGGTGGAGGATTCACCTAGTGACAGGGATGTCCTTTGCCATCCCTGGGAAAATGTCTCCAGATCACAAGCCTGAAACATCTTGGTTGGGATATGCCCAATAAAGACTTGTTTTAACATTTGGCAACTGAATGCCCTGAAGAGTCTATCTTCACTGCGCATACTCAACCCTAGAGCTGCAGGGCTTATTCGGGACTTCCCTTGCAACTGCTCCTCATAGATGGCAGGGGCCATTGTGACATTTAGCATTGGAGCTGAGAATTCTCAATAACTTTCTTGCCTCTACTGATAACCCAGCGTTGCAGGGGGAAGAACAGGGAGTTGCCTAGCACAAAATGCAGTGGAAGGCAAGAGGTTAGGAACCTGTGGAAAAGAGGGGAGCGAGAAGCAGAAGCCTTGAGGAGGGAATAGGGAAGGGAGAGAGTGGAAGAAGAAACCAGGATGGTCAGAAAGACTGTGATTCTGTTTACCATGCAATTTCAATCAGAAGAAAATTATGATGAAGAAAAGGACTGCACTTTAAGAAAGCTTAGCCATAGGGTGCTTGCTGAATCCGTGGTGTCACAAAGGCATTAAAACTTCCAATGGCAGGGATTACTAGAGGTCTTTCTTTTTACTCAGAATGTTATTTAAAAGTAAGGAAGTAAATTAAATGAAACACTCCTTGTTACATTATTGCAGGGTTGGCCCACAACTTTTTGGGTCCCCCTGCAAGAAATAGTTTCTGCCCTGAAAAAGGTG